TCATATCTTACGTAAAACCACTTATGACATCACATCCAGATCTTACCGTAATGTCAAAAACTGAAGATCCTTATAAAGGGAATCACCACAACCCGCTCATACATGGAAACCCAGCAAGCAAGAACTTAGCCTTGAAAAATGAAAAAAAAAATAATGTTGAGGCAGTTACAATACTCGTTTGGGAAACTCAATATAGTTGAAGTTTTTAATGTACTGTAAAGTGTTTTCAGAACAAGTTTATTCTTCAAATAGGCACATGCCTTTCTTCCATTGAATTTCAGTTGTCTTTTTCAATCTGTATGTGTAGCATTTTTTTGAATGAAATAGTACGCACGTGGGACAGCATGCCTTCCACTGTTGCCAGGTGTCTCCATACTGAGAAACACATAGCGCTGCTGCGGACGTCGAAGTCGCGCCTCTGGAAGCGGCGCATTCGGGATATCCTGTGCATGAAACACCACTGCGTCAGCTGCCGTAATCAGGGACTTGTTATACGTCACAATACAGCGATCCTAAATCTAGCACTCAAAATTGCAAATCTTTGAGCTTGAACTGGTACCGATAAGATAAGCACAGATGGTGATTGATCATAACATCATTTCTCATCATACAATACATTACAGATACGTCCTTATTAGCATTTGAGAATGACTAGTAATTTCCTTAAGTGAATTTTAAAAAAAACGTTTGAAAATACCGAAAATCCTTTGCAATCACTGAAATCTATGGGCTTTTCAGCGCCAAAAATCGTGGTCCACATAAGTACTCGTTTTGGAGCTAGTTTCTCGAACCTGTGTTCGATCCTAAACAAAGTTTCTTTGATCCTTCGAGTTCATGAAATGCTTCAATTTCTTTTGTGTAGACATTGTTTGAGATTACAAATCATGATTTCTCGATTGGGTTTTGTCCTACTGGGAATTTTATGCAGTAGAATATTACAGTAAATTATCAAGGATAACTTCCTTTAATCAACAGAACTTCAGCAACAATGTAAGCCTTGAAGTTCTACTGGTGCTCTACATTAGATGTAAATACTTGATTCTCCGATTCCATGAAGTAATCCGAGCAAGGAGATGATCCAAATAGTCTGATGAATAATGGAGTTATGAATGTTTTCCAAATGGTTTTACGCTTGCCAACCTCGTAAACTCAACTTTGATTCATTCCTTTTGAACTTTGCAGTTTCAAGGAAAGGAATTAAGCTCAATAATAAACATGTGTAGAATAACTCTTTCTCCGACATTTGATTATAGCGAAGAAAAATATAGAGTACATAGGAAAAGTTTGAAAAATACTGTATTATCATCCTCTTATTGTGGTGTTATTATCAGCTAACCAAGCTACTACCACAACAAATAATAAAAATGGACGAAGGATGCAAATGATTTGTTACTCATGTCATAGAAAGATGCAATTCTACTTGCAGAACTAATCGCATCGAGCGCTACACGAAAATCAATGAATGACTTCCGATAACTGGTAACGTGAGGAACATTGAGAATATGGGTTTAGGATTTACGCTGAATAAAGAGCAGCATTGCTCTTGATTTAGTTAATAGATAAAGAATGGATAAAAAATTAAAATAAAGCAAGTAAAGGTGCATGAGCATTTCGTCTAAAGGCTTAAACATTGCATGGTACGAAATCTGGACAGAGTATAAGGTGCCGCATGCGAGCTTAAGTTGGCCAGTGCTTGATTCATTTTCTTGGCACTATAATGCAAAAAGGTGTACCTTAATTAACCAAATAAAGACACGATGCATACATAAACAAAAGATGGTATAGCAAAGGAAGTAAAGAAGGAATTTCAACATCCGAGAATGGCTATACACCAAAATTGCGCAAAAAATGATGAAACAGTACATATGTCAAAGTACATTGCAAATACTAACAAAATTTAAGAAGCAACAAAACTTCTTTTCAAAAAAGAATGAAACGCGAAAGGGAAGGGCGAATTATAAGCGCGTAGCTGGCGCAAATTGCATATACTCATGAGAACAAAACTTAAAAATGAAAAAATTTGTTCAAAAAGAAAGAAAATGGAAAACGTGACTGGTAACATACTAACCTGTCTTTCGACACAGTGAGATATAGATGTTTTTGACGGCGATGAACATCAACATGCGACCCATCGCTATAAGCGAAGATTTGATAGGCCGTGTAGAATACTAAGAAGCTTCCAATAGCGTAGAAGAGATTTCGATATATGGTACTGGGACGAATTTTCATGACCTGCCTTAAGACATCAAAATTTTACATGGACTTCCCGACATTCATTCAAACATGAGGGATTACAAACCCTTCATAAAAAAGGATCTAACAAAGTGGATCTTTATTAACAAAACGTCAATCGAACCATTCAAAAATAACACGTGGATGCTTACTAGGTACCAAATTTCATCTCTGCCCATTCTCTGCTTAGTTCCGAGAAAGCTTGTGTTAAACGTCATGACTCCACTTTGCCATTTTCCTCAGCTTGGAGGCAGTAGTACGTATCGCTTCCGTAAAATACATGCAAATAAAATAAAAAGAAAAACAAAAAGGGTCTGCAGAATTGTTACCAACGGTAGCATCAACACAACGGCAACACATGCACAACCTTGAAAATTTGATAAATTGCAGAATTTGCCCTTGCTTTGAGAAAAACAACGTATGAACTCCATCATCGCAAAATTAGGAAATTGCTTCGCGAATGAGTACTTTGTACAACTACTGCCACGATTTTATTTCTATTTAATTGCTTTCTCTCCCTTAATTTCATAGTTCTATGAACTAATAGAGTAAGAAGAGAGGAGAGAATTGAAAACAAAGGAAATGGGAACGAGTATGGGTAGAGTGAATCACAGAATTCAAAAGAGGCCTCTTGGAAGTTCTTCTTGGAGAGGTTTTATTTCTAAAACCTGGTTTTGTTTAAGAAACACATATCTTCAAAGAAAACTTTCACTGATAGTACAATGCTCGCCAGCATAGAGAAGGAGCGCGCTCCGTCATAATTAAATCTATATTTTCACAAGCGTGCTTCCGTCTCTTAAGTGAGAAACTGTGCGAATTAATCTACAATATCAGCAGGCTAACAGATCTTTTAAATTTTTTGAACAGCTGATTCAATGAATATATCAGACAAAGTAGAGTAGAGATGCAAGCTAAGGGAAAAAATTTTAAACAAACCAACGCTAACGATTATTCTAAGTTGTTAAAGCGTACGTAAAGAAACACTTAATCTGTGAGTATTTTATCACCAGTGCATCTTCACCTCTTCTTCAGTTGCACTAGC